GCTCCTGCAGGCTCTCGGGTGAAAGTGAAAGTGAAACTTAAACTGTCTGCTGAGTTCCTAACATTAGTTTTCACTCAGTGAAGCTCTTTTCAGATTAAAAATACCTTTGAGGAAATGTATTTTCAGATGCCAAGTAAACTGCATCATGGCAGCCCCCTCCCTCCCGCACCAAAATGGGCGAGACAGAAGCGGAAGGTGGTTCTTAAAGAGATAGAGGCCAATTTCAATGTGTTTAGAAGAGGAAGTGATGAGAAGAAAAGTTTTATTTTCTATTTAAACATAAAAACAGCATTTTAATAACAGCTAAAGGTGACATAGATACTTTATTATGGTATAGTAATTGAATGTATGCCTGAGAAACATATAATATTGCCCCTTTAAGTTTGTGTCTTAGCATAAATATGGGTGTTTGTTTTAAAGTGACTGAGAGGTTATCCCAACTCTTCTTAACATCTTGTGCAAATTGATGTTTCCACTGTTTGACTAATATGACTCTAGCTCCATCATTTCTTACTAAGAGATGATCTTATTCTAAACTTCAGGCATGTAAGGTGGCAGGCAATATGTATTCCTAATGATTACATTCAAATGCTCTTAAAGAAATGTGTGGACAAACTTCAACAGCAATTACTTTTATTAATTCTATTTAAGAAGTGTTTATATCTAAACCTTGTTTTAATGGAAAGCGACAGTTTTAATTGGAAACCACAGATGATCACATAGATGAACAGTTTCTGTGACAAACCATCATAAAAACACAAGGGCCTCGCAAAAGTTACAAAGTCTCTTTGTTTTATAAGAGTAATTCTTGTTGTCCTTCTAAAAATCTGTTCAAGTTGCAGGTAAATCAGTCTGTTAGAAACATACAGTCACATCATTATTTGTCAGAACAGATTTCTGCATCCAGACAATATCAAACTATCTGCTGAGGTAATAATGTTGACATTGAAAATTGACTGTATTTCTAACATTCAAGCTTTTTTTTTTCCTTTTCATTTTTTTCAGACGTTTCCCAAATGACATCTTAAAGTTGATCTTGTCTACTGACTCTGCTCAGTACTGCTGTTCCACCGGAGTTGACTCATTTTGTGGATGTGTGGGAGAGAGTGGAAGAGAGGTTGTTGCATTGTGAGCAACACACAACACAATTTGAATTCTCACTAGACCAGCCACAGCATCTGAACTGAGACACAACTATCACATCATCGCATTTCAAACTTCTCACAGGTTCCGCTGAATACATCTAAAGGATATGAGTGGGGGAAAACAACATCACACCTTTTTTGGGGCTATGGGAAGTGTAAATTAATATTATAACAAATTGTTCATAAATAAGTACTTGTTCGCAAGACCTTAAATTAATGCAGTGAGCTTGAACTTTGCTCCTTAAATGTCAAACCACCAAAATATTTGAAAACTTGTTGAGAGAAAAGAAAGGCAGAGATACAGTGAGTTTAAAGAGTAACAAAATCCCAAATCAACTTTTTTTACAAATAAATTGTCTAAATTGGGCCTGTGGGGTATTATTTTTATATTTCTATGCAAATTTGTGTGTAAATTTGTTGAATTCTTCAATATTGCGTCTAAAAACGTCTTGGTGCTGCCCATGGTTATTTCCTGTTTTGTGATCTTTGCTGCTAGTTCTGTTTTTCTCAAGTCAGTTTCTGTTCCTCATTTCCTGCCCCGCCCACTTACGCCTGTGTTCAGTCAGCATCAGTGTCACCTGTCTTCAGTTTCCTCGTCAGTTTATTTATGCCCTGGTCATTTTTGCACTCAGCATTTTAGTGTGTTGAGTTTCTTTCTTTCTTTTTTCTTTTTCCTTTTTTTTGTTGATATACCAGCATTTTTGTTTTTCCTTTTGCTTTTTTATTTATATACATATATATCATTAAATTTTATTCAAGCTCCTTTGTGTTTAATTGCAATACTGGATCCTGCAACACAAAACCTGAAAAGTAATGTTATTTATTTTTGTTACCTACCTGGATCTGTTTAAAAAATTACATGTAAACGTAGTGGGACAATTTCAGAAATAGGCTCCTCAGCAAAAAATTATAAAGATTTTTAATATCTCATCAACTACAATTCATAATAGGGTGAAGAAAGTTTAAAAAATCTGGGGAAATCTTTGTTCACACAGGGGATGCCCATTATCTTTAAGCCGACATTAAAAACAGGATTCCGACATTTGCATCACTGCATTGTCTGGGATCACTTCTACAAATCATTGTTTGGAAACATAATTGACTGTGCCATCCACAAATGCTTGATAAAGCTCTGTCATGCAGAAAATAGCCCTGTGTGAACACCATCCAGAAACACTCCCATCTTCTCTGGGCCAAAGCTCATTTACAATGAACTAAGATATAGTGGGAAAACAGTTCTGTTGTTAGAATAATCAAAATTTGAAATTCTGTTTGGGAACCACTGTTCCACCAATACTTAAAACATTTCAAAATCCTGATACTCTGATGGTATGGGGGTGCATTAGAACCAGTGATATGGACTGCTTTCACATCTGGAAAGACGCTATCAATGCAGGAAAGTACAACACATGCTCCAATCCAGATGACATCTTTTTCAAGGAAGGCTTTGTATATTTCAGCAAGACATTGCTAAGCCATGTACTGTTCTCATTACAACAGCATGGCTTTCTGGTAAAAAAAAAAAAAATGTCCAGGGTAGGCGCTGAACTGACCTGCATTTAGTCCAGACCTCTTGCCAGTTAAAAACATTTGAGGCCTTATTTTACACCGCATAGCTGTAACATAATGACTCCCGCACGCACAAATGTACCACAACTCAGAAGTCTTTATTCCTAATAAATGTCATGCTACTAGATGCATCCCAAAATTGGAGCGGTTTGGATGGGGGGCTTTTTCTGGGTAGGGGGGGGGGGGGGCGTTGGACCTGATGGATAGCCCCTCATCAGAGCTAAACAACAAAAGAAATCTGAAGCTCCTATGTTTAAGAGTTTTTGAGTTATTACCATTTTTTGTATGTCCAGATACCACTTTTTCAAAAAAAATTGGGGGTCCGGGGTGGTGGGGGACACTGATTGGTGGGCCTGATAGATAGAGCTTCACCAGAGCTAAAGTACAAAAGAAATCTGAAGCTTCTATGTTGAACAGTTTCTGAGTTATGAGCATTTTTGCATGTCCAGACATCCGCTCTTTGAAAGGAGCCCCCTCCTCAAATATGGGGTCTATCGTAAAACCGTTGGCTGGCACAGTGTAGGTCAGACTCAACTACAGTCTTTGACCGGTGCAGCCATTTTTGTGCTACGGTTGACCAAAAATCACTGAAAAAAATATAAAAAAAATAAACAGTACGAAAAAAAACATGACCCCCGTTTACACTTTGCATGCGGGGGTCCTGATAATCCAGCAAAGAAGAACTGAAAGAGATAAAAACTAGAATCCTAAAGCACACAATGGATGAACTTTCCTCTTCATAAATTCCAGTTATTGGTCTAATTTCCTTGGTGTTTACAGACCGTTGTTAAATAAATTGGAAATGCTTCACAGAGGTAAACATGGCCTCATCCCAACTCTTGAGATATGCTGCCATCAAATTAACTTTTTTTTCTTCTCAAAATAATATGAATGTGTTGTGTTCCATTATACATCAAACATGATTTGATGGGATTTGCAAATCATTGCATTCTGTTTTATTTCTATTTTACACAACTTTTTCAGAACTTGAGTTGTACAGAATTGCTCTGAGTCCTCTCTGGAGCACAGAAACAGATGTTAAAAAAAATCATCATATTGGATAAGCTTCATTCATCGGTAACCCAGTTCATATTAGTGTCATTGGGTTACAATTGTGCTATAATCATTTGACTTTTACAACTTTTATGAGACGCTGACATCATGTGTGAGGGGTCTCAGGGTTCGGTTGTATTGGGACTGTGAGTAAAAATAGTCAGGGGATGGTGTCAGACACATTTGGGGTTAGGTTTTTATTTTATAGCCAGATGCTGTGTTCACTGTCTGACCTCATCCACCGCACTGTGATGGCAGCCAAGTGAACTGATGGGGCTTGTTGAGCTCCTGGTTGAGGTGGAGGCTCTCTGTGCTCCAGACTCATTTTTAGTGGTGTCCTGATACTGATTTTGGTATCAATATCGGACCTATTAAGGAGAACCACGTTGTTCTAAATAAAAGAGGTGTTTTTTTTTCATTGTGTAATGTTTAAGTACTAACACAGTAAGTACTCTGTGTTGGCGAATACCAAAACTGACATACTCATACTAATACTCTGAGAAAAACTGGTATTGGGACATTCCTAAAAATAAAATAAAATAATACAATATGATCCCAAGATTTGCTGAAATTTGTAAATTGCTGTCTTTTTTTTAGTCATGGTACATGTGCATCTACTTGATTTAAAAATATATATTTTAAAAGAGAGTATTTATTTTGACCTCAGTGGTATTATACTTCCTACCAGATTTATTGATTCTTGTAAAATAATTTAAAGCAACCACCATTAAGACTTAAGTCGCCTCAACTCTGCCCAAAAACGTGGTGGTGTGTGGAGCCAGACTTGCTGACGACCTGGCCCGTGTGTCAGCCTGCCACCTGTCTGGTTAACTCGGCTTGTAAAGGCATCCGCCCCGGAGCCCTCATTTCCTGCAACTGCCCAGGAGTGGAACCGGGGGAAGCTGAGGTGGGTAAAAGGTGTTACATCTGAAATCTGGACGCAAAGTGAAAACAACAAACAAACTCTAAAATCAACACAATCTGTCAGTCAAAAGTGGAAAACAGTTTTATATGTGACCCCCAAGACTAAAGATGGGAACATGAAGCTGGTCACGAACAAAGAAAATAACATTTCCTTTGGGAATTTGGAGCTGCAAATTGTCCTAGGTCAGCCCTTCACTGCATGGGGCTGTCTTTGGAAAGTTTTAAAGGCAGGTTTAGCCCTAATGCTCCTCCCTGAGTAAAACTCCTACAAATCCCTTTTCACCATCCAGAGACACACAAAAAGAGTCATCAACGTTTAACAGGCTTAAAATTGAAGTTTTGCCTTGCTATTGATTTAAAAAGAACACTTAGAGCATCTCTACACAGAAACTCCAGATCTGAGAGCAGCTGGAGGAACAAAATGGTTGGGTGGACAGCTTTCATTCTGGCCTCACAGCTGCTGTTAAAACTCTGCATACATGTGGAGGCTCAGGCTTTGGGTGAGTGTTATTTAAAGTGTTTTAATTTTTATTTTCATTTTTACATTGTCCATTCTAACAGCTGTGCTTGGTGGTGACTGAAAAAGTTCTGAGATGATGTTGAAGACTTGAACATGGAAAATGAAATACTTTATTTTTTGTATGTTGTATTTTTGTAAAGATTAAACGTATAATCCGTTTTCTTTCTCTTTGTGTCAAATCAATCCGAACAGATTTGATGCCACCGCCACTTAGTACTTTAACACGTGGGTTTAGGTTTAGGGCATAATGGTGAAGCAGAGACACTATGAAAGCAAAAATGTGTTTTCAAACCCAAAGAACACAAAGGATTAGACATGGAGAAGGACACTCGCTGAGGTGTGATTAAAGCACTAAATATTCCTGTCAATTGTTGAGATGAGCTAAATATTGTGTGTGCGTGCGTGCGTGCGTGCGCGTGCTTCTGTAGAATTTTAGAAACTCTACCAGCCATATCAGCTTGATTAGCTCAGCTTTCAGGAGGTTTAGCTTTCTGGCTCACGTTTGTTTAAACTAATTCCCAGCTTGTCACACACACGGGAATAATTAAAGATGATAATACTGAACTTCACACACTCTGTTCTTTCAGTGTCCACCACACACTCACAGCCACACACAGCTGAAAAACGCCAAGCTGCTGACAACACGGGCAAACACTGGTGAAATCGAGCATCCTTCAATCCTTTTTTAATACTAATAGTGCTCAAGTTTTTAAAATAAAACAAATCCAGATTATTGAAAATTTCCATAGATTATTACCATTGAAAATTATCATAACTGGATTTTATAGTAATTTTAAAAAGTGGCATCAAATTAAAGCATTGCTTTGGTTTTCATTCAGAAGCACAAAGCTGAGACACTTTGTAAAAGATATTGAAGATATCAGTCAATATTAACATCCCGAGGATGTCTTCAAACATGGCAGACATCATTAAAATTAATAAAATTCCACTTTTTATTTCAGACACAGAAACTCTATTGAGAAGCTGCTGGAAAATAATTTGTAAATAAATAACGGGGTCATATTTGCAGAGAATTAATTACCTTCTGTATCTGGAGAGTTTCAGTCCATGGTTTAGCCCCCCCCCCCCCCCCCCCCCCCCCCCTCGGTTCTCTTCACGGGGGTTTGGTCACGACTTGGCATTACTTTTTCATGCAGAGCTGCTGCATTTTAGTAGATTTTTTTTTCAATGTTTTCAATAGAAGCCACAAAAGGATAGTAGAAACCTTTATTTATTTACTTGTTGTTTTTTCTTTGCTATGGATTATTTTATGTTAAAGTTTCAGGATGAGTCACTGGCAGAGAATCTTGTTGCAGAAGGCTAACTTGTTATTGTTTCATAAGGGTGTAACCTGAACCATGTTTTCCTCCACCTAACTGGGCTTTAGTGATGCCAGACCAAATTGAGGTTGACAGCATGAAGTCTGAAAAGAAGAATCTAAGATGAGATTTGGTTTGATTCAAGAAACAGATCATCACCACGCAAACAAAGAACAAATAAAGGACATTTATTCTGGCTCGAAGATCTTCTGACTAACTTGAAAAAACTGTTTAGGTGTCTTTTAAAATATGTTTCAGTGGAGTGTTTATGAGTAGTGAATATTTTACCTGCAGCAAACAGAATAATCTCTGTCCGAAGAATCAAAGATAAATTTTAAATTTCTGCCACCTAACACCAGTCAAACATCAAAAGGTTTGTATTTATTGAAGCAATTGTATTATAAAAGAAGCCATTTTTGTGAAGAAAGACCGTCCATCATTAAACAGAGGTGGAGGCCTCCATTTTCAGTTGTCCCCCTCCTACAGCACTGCCATTGGCAGTATCACTCCACCCCCTGTTAACAATAGGTGTTAATTAGGTGTCAACGATAGCCATGTGATGTGAGTATCAGTCACATGGAGGCAGTGCTTAAAAGCCTGAATTTTGCCTGAAACTCTCAGACTGAAGAAGTCTCTTGGAGGAGAGACGAAACGTTTCATTAGAGAAGAACCCGTCCAGAGGACCTATACATTTTTTTTCTTTTTAAAAGTAACTAATTAGAAAATAACAAAAGGCTAGCTAAAAGTTAAAGCAGCAAATTGCTTGCTAAAAAGAAAGAGGCTAGCTAAAAGTAGCAAAAGCTAGGTAAAAGTTAAAAATTGCAAAAAGATGGCTAAAAGTTAAAGCAGCAAATTTCTAGTTAAAAAGAAAAGGCTAGCTAAAAGTAGCAAATGCTAGCTAAAAATATCAAAAA